TCTCCCCATTGCCTTTCAAGTATATTTTCTTGAAATAACAGTAGTCTGTCTCACACCTACTGCTTCAAGAACTTCATAAATATTATCTGAATTTCTCGACCCCAAATGATGATAACTTTAAACATTTAATCGCCCAAAACCCAGCATCAAACCAGAGGAAATTGTGTGTTTTTTTCCGTGATCACACTGAAAAAAAATCATATTTTTATAGTGCGTTTGATATAATAAAACGTCTCAAGGTATTACACATGAAAATGACAAAATGATCCTGAACACCAAATGAGATATTAAGGAAGGCGACTAAAAGCTTAGTCATAGAGGTAGGTTTAAGCACCACTTTAAGGGAAGAAAAAAAGTTGGGATTCAGAGAGGTACAGGGAGGTACTCCCAAAGTTAAGTCCAAGGCATAGTTACATAAAACATGGGATGCTCAAGTGGCCAGGATCAGAGGACCATTGAATTTTCAGATGGGCTGGAGGAGATTTTGGAGACAGGGAGGAGTAAGGTCATGGAAGATTTGAAAAGGAGGATGAGAATTGTAAAATCAAGACATTTTCTTTATTGTAAGCTAATGGGGTCAACAAACACACAGCTGTGAGAAGAGATGAATGTGAAGTGAGACACAATCAGTGCCTTCAAGCCTGTGGAGAATAGAATGTGTGAGATGAGCCAGGAGTATGCTGGGATAGCTATGTCTAGCAGTTACAAAAGCATTAATGAGAGTTTTAACAGTAGATGATTTGAGACAGAGGTGAAGTTACTGAGGTGAAGTTACAGAGGTAAAACAAGCAGTAATATTGACAGCACAAACGAGCTCATCTTAGGGTCCAATTTGCCATCAAATTGGTTTAATATAAGGCTGTTGCCAGGGTAATGGATGGAGTCAGTAGCTAGTGATCGGAATTTGGAGTGAGAATTGAAAATAATGGTTTCAGCCATCCCAATATTTTGAGTAATTGTTTCTTTTTTCAGTATTAGATGTTGGATATGCAGTCTGATTATTGAACACCAGGGGCATAATCAACAGGGGTAGTTGTGTGGTAGAATTGGGTTTCATCAGCGTACATGTGAATACTAATGCTGTGCTTCTCGACGATTTCAGTGATGGGCAACATGTAGATGAGATATAGAAGAGAGCTGATTTTAGATCCTCGGGAGACAGGTGTAGCAGCAGGACTATTTCTCTGGATATAGTTTGATAGCTAGAATGCAACTAGGTGAGAGAACTTCTTCTCTCAGAGGGTAATACACCTATGGAATTTTTACTGCAAGGGGTCATCAAGGCTCGTCATCAGTATATTCAAGACGGAGGTAGACAGATTTTTAATCTGTAAGAGAATTAAAGGTGATGGGGAAATGGAGTGTAGGATTATCAGATAAGCCTGATCTCCTTGAATGGTGCAGTAGACTGGATAGGCTGAATGAACTACTTCTGTGCCTGTGTTGTATGGCCTAATCCTAAACAGCCCAATGCCAGTGGAGAGGCATTGCAGAGGAAAGGCATGTTCAACCATGTCAATGGTTACAGAGAGGTCGAAAGGGACAAGAAAGAAAGTTTGCCAAAATCATGTCGGATGTAATTTCAAACTTTGCCTAAGAGTCATTTTGGTACTGTGGTAGGACAAAAAACTTGAAGTTCTGGGAAAGACAAGAATAAATCTGGGTGCCAATATAATGTTCAAGGATTATGTAGAGGAAAGGGAGATTGGAGGTGAGTGGTAGTTTCCAGGAAAAATGGGGTCAAAGGGTTGTTTTTTTCTGTTTAAGGAATGGTTTGACGACTGCAGGTTTAAAGGAGAAAGGGACAACACATTTAGTCAAAAATGTTTATACTAACTGAACATGGGAACCAGGATAAAGTGTTAACTATTTTACAAGATAATCTTATCATCTTAAAGTATGTTAATTAAACTCCTCCTAACCTTCTTCAGTCAATGTACTGCAGATACTCACCATGTTTTTTAAAGAAAAGCATTCAGGTTTGATGTCGGGTGGAGTCTAATTTTTATCAATACTGCAGGGGTCATTGGGAATTCAAATTTATTTCAGTTGCAATACATCAGGAACTTGGAAATCTATTTATTTTTTGCAATGTTAACAAACATGCCAAAGCATCAAGGATTTCTGTTCTGTTTTCCAGATGCATTGTTTTGGCTGTCAGACTGACAAGCAAATCTGTTTAGCGCACCGATGAGATCTTAGGGACGAATCAATTCAAATATAATTAGTACTTCAGCGCCAATCATGAATTGCCTTATTTATTACAAATATTTTGAGAATAACAATAACTTGAGAAAATGTAATTAAACTTGTACCCGAAATATTAAATTTTGCTGTAATTAATCCTGCTAGCTTTGTATAGAATACAATATTACTGAATACTACAGTTTTATGAAGTACAATCACCTATAAAAACTCTAATTACATATGCACTGAGAAAGGCAAATTGCAAACTTGGCTCTGACAAAGGTCTTGACCCAAATGTAAAAAAATCTTTATTTCTTTTCTGACATGGATGTTGGCATCTTTCCAGCATTTCTGCTTTCACATTATAATGGTGTACTAGTGAAGATAGACTCCTACTAATTCTGTAAAGCTTCTGATATTTGTCGCTAAATTCATTACGTGCAGAATAGAAGATCTATTCTAGTTGCATGTACACGAACATATAATGATTGTGATAGAGTGCTGCCACTAATCCTACTTTCTACTCTTTTCAGTGAACAATAAGATTTTGACAGCCCCTCCTGTTGCACTGCAACAAAATGTCAAGAGGTCATAATAAATCCAAGGAGCCACTTGGTTAGCAGGAGTCAAAATTAAACCACAACTAAATCTTATCTAATGAGGCACTTATCTTAACAAGATGTTGTTTATGGATGATAGTGATAATTACAATTTTGTAGTCTCATTAGCCAATCAGGAGACAATGACGTGACATCTGTCGCCATTGGGATATCAAGCTAGATTCCACTTTACCCCATGCAAGACCATAAAATATCATCAGTTTGGATGGAGCCTAATGCTGTCTCCAACATTGACGATTTCAGACCTATTAACTTATACAATAAACCTACTGAGTCTACCTTCTGAGAAAGTCCAATTCACCAATTTTCAATGCAATGTACAAACACTCTACACAGGGGAGGTGATAGCCCAGTGGTATTACTGCTGGACTGTTACTCCAGAGACAATGAAATGTTCTGGGGACCCAGGTTTGAATCCCACCATGGCAGATGGTGTAATTTGAATTCAGTAAAAATCTAGAATTAGGAGTCTAATGATGACCACAAAACTATTGTTAGGAAAAACCTATCTGGTTCACTGATGCCACTCTTACCTGGTCTGGATTACATGTGACTTCAGCCCCACAATAATGTAGACTCTTAGATAGTGGGAATTGCCAATGCTGGAGAATCTGAGATAACAAGGTGTAGAGCTGGATGAACACAGCAGGCCAAGCAGCATCAGAGGAGCAGGAAAGCTGACGTTTCGGGTCTGGACCCTTCTTCAGAAATGGGGGAGGGGAAGGGGATTCTGAAATAAGTAGAGAGAGAGGGGGAGGCGGATGGAAGACGGATAAAGAAGCAGATAGGTGGAGAGGAGACAGACAGGTCAAAGAGGCGGGGATGGAGCCAGTAAAGGTGAGTGTAGGTGGGGAGTTAGGGTGGGGATAGGTCAGTCCAGGGAGGACGGACAGGTCAAGGAGGTGGGATGAGGCTGGTAGGTAGGAGGTGGGGGTGGGGCTTGAGGTGGGAGGAGTGGATAGGTGCGAGGAAGGACGGACAGGTCAAGGAGGCGGGGACAAGCTGGGCTGGTTTTGGGATGCGGTCAGCGGAGGGGAGATTTTGAAGCTTGTGAAGTCCATATTGATACCATTGGGCTGCAGGGTTCCCAAGTGAAATATGAGGTGCTATTCTTGCAACCTTCGGGTGGCATCGTTGTGGCACTGGAAGAGGCCCAGGATGGATATGTCATCCAAGGTTGACTCTTAACTGCCTTTTGGGGTGGATGAAAAATGCTGGCCTAGCCAGCAATGCCCTCATCCCATGATTAAATTTTTTAAAAATCTCAGCCAGGTACAAAAGTAATTTTCCCAATTACTTGCTGACCCAAAACTTAGCCGTCTCTATTGTGCATATTTCTCCAAATGAATGTCATTGGAAAGCTGACAGTTTCTTCTGGATGCAACTTTCTACATCTCACTTTTTAAGAGTAACCTTTCAGTAAACTGAATTTCTTATTTTCTCATTGCGGTTCAAGGTTCCAGTTGATGAGAATGCACCTTCAGATATCAGAGCTGAATTTGCACCAATTCCTTGAATGCTAACATAGTAAAAATAAATACCCCAGCGTATATTACTATCATTGCTTGTGTACAATGGTACTACCAATGCTTGAGCAAACTGCCAGCTGCTACAGAACATGGTCAATTTGAAAATCATTGGCTACGGAGTTTGAGTGCGTTCCATTAAGGACAGATGATGGCACGGTGGTAACATTATTGGAACCAGTAATCCAGAGGCTAAGGCAAATGCCCAGGAGACATGGGTCCAAATCAGACCATGGTTCAATTAATAAATATGAATATAAAGCTACTCACAGTAAATGGTGACCGTGAAACTATTATCGATTGTTGCTAAAAAAAAAAAACACCTGGTTCACTAATATCCTTTAGGGAAGGAAACTGTCTTTCATATTGTGTCTGGCCTACATGTGACTCCAAATTCACAGCAAACCCTTAACTGCCCTCCAAATTGGTTTAGCAAGCCATACTGTTCAAGGGAAACAAATCAGTGGTGGCCACACCCCATAAAACAGTAAAGAAAACAAAATGATAACAGTCACCAGGTTTCTGCCCAAAGTGAAAAATGAATTAGACTGTGATCACTGACTTCATTCCTGAAGGAAGAAGTGAACATTTTGAAGGCCGATCCCAGAAGTCTGGAGCTGTCAAGCTCAGATTTTCACAGGTGTGTCAGTTCAGAGACTTCACTTACCATCAATCGCAGATAGGAGAACCCGTGAATGGTCATATGCAATTACGTTTGCATATCTATTCTTTGGTTTGTTGACTTCCATGTTTGAATGTTCCCATGTGAACTGTTGGCCAGGATCAATTGACTAGAGTGAGGGAGAAGAGCAGAAGAAAGAGAAATCCATTGGAGCGGAGACAATATTATTTCTGATATGCAATAGTCACTCGTTATTCTTGATTATGCTTAGACTATCCTCCTTAGAGCATCTTTACCTCTTACTCGTTTTCACCCCCAAAGTTTTATGGTGCATTTTCTTTACTTGTGCTTCTGTGGTTTATGAAAAAAGAGGAATACAAAAGTGTGAAGCTTTTCATAGTTCTGGACATTCAGAGTTTCTCAGAACAGCTTGAGGTTCTGATTATGCTGGATTAAGGTGGATGCATCACTTCTGTTAGTTTATACTGATTGAACCTGTTTAACATATGTGGATCTGGACTGTGAAAACAAAATTGAGCAGTTCAGAATAATTGAGGTCATTGGTGAAATATAATAAGATTTTCATCTAAACAGTCAACAGTTGGAATTAATCACAAGTAATTATTTCTCCATAAGTATTAATGGTGATATTTATAATATGACCACATTCATGGGACTCTGTCGATATTGAGGTCATCATACCAATAGAATTCCTGTGCATGGCGATATCAAAAGATCCAAAACTACTGAATTACAGCCTGCAATTTGAAAAGGATAATGCATATCTGTTCCATTTACACAGTAATACAAGTTAAGACATATTTTCCCTTTTTGCGAAAGATGAAAACATTTTTAATTGGTCGTTGTGAATATTGGACTGCTTTGTAAGAAAGTATTTCTTACAAATGTCATCATATTCACTCACATTTATCACTGGAAAAGCCAAGCCTCAGATCCCACTCAGTGCAAAATGCAACTGCAAAGAAATGAAAACAGCTTACACTTCTGGTGTTCCATCACTGTAAATCTACAGTGGATTGTCAGGTTTTTCTCTTACTACTCATTTGAAATCGTAAAAATAATGTGAATTTATCTGGGGCAGTAGCAACCTTAAATAACCTACTTGTATCACTAGAAACAATTACATGGAATAGAATCAGGCTGTTGCTAAAAAGTCAACAGAAGGTCAACACCAGCTTTTTAAATCATTTACTTGTGACCAAACAGCCAAAGAATGTGGGTCCTGGTTGTGGCAGGGCCTTAAGTCTTCGTTATGTACACAGCTACATCTGAGTAAATCACAAACATGGCAACCCTCCTTATTAATTTTTCAGGGTCACTGGCATTATAGTGCGACCTCTGTGCTCAATGCAGTAATCTACTGTACAGGCACAAATCCAACTCTCCTTTAATGAAAACACACACAATGCAATTACTGGCTGCTGTGAAATCCCAGTCTGTAGTTACAAACAAAACATTGTAATACAATGTGCTTTAGAGCACAATGTGCACGACTCATTCAATTCCTTCTCCATTACACGGATAAGAACAAAATTAAATTCTATTTTCACCCCCATGAATCACAAACTCCTCCAGAAGCTCCATGTTATTTTTCACACCAGTGATGGTCTGAAATACTTCAACTGTGCAACTGCACGAAATAAATTATATTTATTCTCTTCTGACATTTGAAGAGCCATGGGAAAATAATTAAGCAAACCAGAAATACAAAGGAGCATAACTTCCTCTCCACAAAAGGAACTTACAACAAAATATAGGGATGACACTTTAGTAAACCCTCGACACTTTTAGTTCACATTATCTTCCCAATGGTGCCTATTAAAATCAATCTCCAACTGCAATACTCCAGCAATGGACTGAAAGTCACAATTTACTTCTAATGAAGCCCACAGTGAGTTCCTTGTAGCACTATTAATGATCCACAGGGTTCCTTTTGTCACTTGATGAGCTATCATTTTCTGTGACAACTGACACAAGGTTCCCTGTTTCAGTGCTTTGTCCCTTTACCACTGATTTTTCACTCAATCACCTCAGTTTAAAGCAAAACCAACATAATTCCAATTATCACCTTTATATGCAAAAACCACATTTCATAATCATCCAATTCATTATACAGATGTTGTCCATGGGTGAGCACTATTTCAAATAAATCATTGTCAGAAATTGCATAATTTCAAATGAGAATGGTTTCGGAAAATGTCCAATTGTTACAGCATTAGACAGTTCAACATCAGAGCATTATCACTCAGAAAAAGGTATCTACCAAAATCTTAGAGTGGTGATGGAGGTTTAAAAAGTTAACCTCCCCTTCTATTAAACTGTCTTTTCCAAAGAACCCATTATAATGCACATAATGATTAATGGCATTCCTAACTTTAGGAATCTTGAGAAAAATTTGAAACATACTGCTTGGAAGCTTCAAAAATGCACGCCTAATTCTCTGGGCAAATACTTCAGTTACTGTCTTAGAATCATAGAATCTCTACAGTGTGGAAGCAGGCCATTCAGCCCATAGTAATCCTTCAAAGAACATCCGACCTAAACCCACCTCCCCCCTGACCCTATCCCTGTAACCATGCATTTCTCATGGCTAATCACCGAACCTACACATCCTTGGACATTATGGGCAATTTAGCATTGTCAATCCACCCAACCTGCACATTTTTGCATTGTCCGAGGAAACCCACACAGGCATGTGGAAAATGTTCAAATTTCACACAGGCACACGAGGCTGGAATTAAACACAGGTCCCTGGCGCTACCAGGCAGCAATATGAACCACTAAGCCAACTGTCGATGCAACAAATATCTTAGAAAGTACCTGAATATCTACTTGTCACTGTTATGGCTATCATATTGTTTTCTAAAATGTAAGACAAATAATCTGGTGGCATTTCCTCTCTCCAACAGAAGAAAACATATATTGTTAGATTAATCAAAACATTGTTTGAATTTTCAACCTCATTTAAAAATACATTGCCCTATGTACACCTTAGTGATATAAATATATTATTGTTACAGACGGAATAATCTTTAATAAAATTAAAGACAGTCTGAAATGTAAACTTAACTTTGATGATTTTATCCAATTGTCACATACAAAAAGTGTACAACTGAATTATCAAATGATGAACTGAATGTAATTGTTACATCCCTTATCACCACTACCTTCCACACCATCTTTCCTTAGGGCAAACAGATAAATAGATTTTATAGACTACTTCAACATTTCAGGACACTCTTGCTCCACAGAGACTGGTAACAGGCTTTTATCCATTGCTCCCACAAAGTAAATACATAAAGTACATGAAGGGGACTCCCTGATGACTCACAGAGTTTAGCCAGCGTGTAGCAGAGGCAGACAGACTGGAATGTTATAGGTATGATCACTAGTCCATGAACGTAGATAAAAGAAGAAGCGTTTCATGGACTGGGGATCATCTAAGTCATCTATTATACAAGGACTCATGTTAGAAGAGCACAGAATAAACATCTCATTTAGTTCAGCTGGGTTTGTCTACTGACATTTGACCCTCAAATCAAATAACCTCTCATACGTCACTGACAAAGCTCAAACATGATTAAGTGCAAGCAGAGCTAGACTGATTAGGTGAACCTTAACTCAACTAGCAATTCAGGCCTTCAGAATGGGGTACTGCAAAATATTGAGATCAAAATAAACAACTTTAACACCAGCTTACCTGTAACACTGCACAATCCAATTGAACATCAAGAAAATATGACCTAAACTTAAGGCTACAAGAGGTCAATTTGAGACACTCTATAGTGGAATTGGATGGATTGGACAAGAGATTCTGGAGCTCGACAAATTTAGCAAGTAATAAAAGTTTGTTAATGAGTTTTTAAATATTAATGTATTTAAAGTGAACGGTTAAGGCCCTGTCACTCCATTGCACGGTACACTGGTGCTACACTTTTTTGAGGAACTGCATCTCCTCGATGATATATTCTTTCATTCATTGAAGGGTGCGGTCTATTAGGAACTCATGACTGATCAGGAGATGAAGAACCAGTGAAAGATGATACTGTAAAAAGTGAAAAGTGAGAACCCTAGTGAGTCTCATGAGAATGGGAAGAATTTCTTGCTTCTGATTATTATGCAGTGACAGATCTGGACAATGCACATGGAGAAAGGAATTCTCTAACTTTCCGTTCTTTCGGGAAGCCTCACCTTCCAACTACATATATAAAAATATAATGGACACTGTGTATGATCTTGCTAATTTGCTCAATTAACAGGAGAGGCTTTCTACTGGAGAGTGAACTATAAATATTCTCTATGTATCTGTTGTGCTATGATCTCAGTAGAGACCAGTAAGGTGTGTATTTATTTATATTTATTTCAAAAATCAGAAAAAATGGATATGAATACAAGATTGAAGCCACAATGCTCATCATTTAAATCAAAATAATTTTACCATACAAAAATCAAAGTGCATGAATACTACAGTACTACAATCTATCTGAATAAGTCAATCCTGCTGAAGTATTGGAAGTACAACAAACATAGGTATTTCTTCTCTTAACCAAATTCATAACCTAAGTTTCCATCTACAGCCCCAAAACTCAATTTGGATACTTGCAAGAACTTGCATGACTAAGTACTTGGTCCCAGTCCCCAGTACTGTTTCCAAGCATTTATTTTACAAGAGTTGAGATTTCTTGGGTCTTTCGTTTATTTCCAGCAAGGCTTTCCCCTTCAACCATCTTACGCTTGTCGAATTCCAGCACAACACAGGTGCTGACAACACCTCAAGCACAGCCACCTGGCAGCAGATCTTTCCTGACTCTACGATTCACTAACTCTGGAGTTTTGCCTCTATAATTCTCTCTCTGTCTCTCCTCAGTTTTGCAATCTCAGATGATAAATTCGCTGTTACAAGCTCTTCAGTTAACACGTGGTTTAAACTTTTTTAGCCAGGCTCCAAAAATTTAACTGAATTTTGCTGGAAACAGATGTTCTGTGTTCTGCAGCCAAGTTGCTTTTAACTAAAACCAAGTTTGAGATGGGATCTATTCACCCACATAAATAATTTCTTTTTAACCCTTTTCCTATTGCTCATTTCCCCTGCAGCTTGATTACACGATTCGTACGGTCCTGATTTGAATGTTTGACGGCTCCATCATA